CCCCCGTCAGTTTCCCCCTGGCCTTTCCCCCTGCCTCTCAACTAAGTAAAGAAAAAAGTGAAAGCAAACACGGGGCAGTTTCTTGCTGAGCTGGTGGAGGGAAAGGGAAATGATGTGTCTGTCTACCTCCCACAGCCTTTATGTTCCCTGCCCCTGCCTTCTCCATGGGCCCTTTTGCTGTTACACAGGACAGTCCCCTCCTGACTGCACTCACCCGTTATAGGCGATGGCTGTAGGCAGTGGGCTGACACCTGACCCGCTTCTCCCACCATGCCTGGGTTGCCTCTGTGCCCAGTGTCCCTGCTGAGGCTTACCGATTAGGAGCTTTGGGTCAGACAGGTCACTCTACCAATCCCAGGGGACTAGCCTTTGGTTTATCTATGATCAATGCTACTCTACTTCCCTTACACGTCACCTATTCGCTACTGGAACATGCTGTGAGGTTTGTAGTATAACACATTTTACAGACCACACAGCTAGAAAGGGAGTGGGTTAAATAGACAGAAACGGCGGAACTGGGACTTGAACCCCAGCAGTCTAGCTTCTGAGTTTCCATGTGGTCTTGGTCAAGTTCAATAAGCGATAATGGTTTTTATTAGTGGGTCATTTCTCCTGTTCTGAGCCTATCTCTGGGGATGCTCTAGCTCCTCCAACTGGGAATGCTGCCCCTGCCTGACCAACTGTCTCTTCTGTTCCCAGATGCCGGTACAGCTGACTACAGCCCTGCGTGTGGTGGGCACCAGTCTGTTTGCCCTGGTGGTGCTTGGGGGCATCCTGGCAGCCTATGTGACAGGCTACCAGTTTATCCACACAGAAAAGCACTACTTGTCCTTCGGCCTCTACGGTGCCATCCTGGGTCTACATTTGCTCATCCAGAGCCTGTTTGCCTTCCTGGAGCACCGACGCATGCGCAGGGCAGGGCGCCCGCTGAAGCGACGTTCGGTGGCACTCTGCATTGCTGCTTACCAAGAGGACCCTGAGTACTTGCGCAAGTGCCTGCGTTCAGCTCAGCGCATCGCCTTTCCAAACCTCAAGGTGGTCATGGTAGTGGATGGCAATCGCCAGGAAGATGCCTACATGCTGGACATCTTCCACGAGGTGCTGGGCGGCTCTGAGCAAGCTGGCTTCTTTGTGTGGCGGAGCAATTTCCATGAAGCAGGTGAAGGAGAGACAGAGGCCAGCCTGCAGGAAGGCATGGAGCGCGTGCGAGCCGTGGTGTGGGCCAGCACCTTCTCATGTATCATGCAGAAATGGGGAGGCAAGCGTGAGGTCATGTACACAGCCTTCAAGGCCCTTGGCAACTCAGTGGACTACATCCAGGTAAGTCTGCCTCCCTAGGAGTGTGTGCACATGGCACGTGTGGCCAACCAGGCATACTCTCTTCCAGCAACTTTAAACGTAGCGTGGCTCTTGGTGTTCTGGCCATGCCTGCTTGCCCATAAACAAGGCATAACAGTGCTCAAGAAACCCTGGAGGTGACCAAACCCGGGCAGTGGTTCTGATGGTAACTGGGCAGCCCCTGAACTGATGTCCTCATAACAGCAGCAACCGGGTGCACAGCACTGACTTCATACAGGGCACTGTTGGGGTGCCTCAAATATATCCATTCTTTTAACACTTATAATAGCTCTGCTTATAATAGAACTGCTCTTCTGAGTTCACAGAAAGGTCAAACAGAAGTTTGGAGAATAACTTGCCTCAGGTCAAACAACAGACCTATCAGGCGGTCGGTCTATCCACGGCTTGCTGTTAGCCCTTGCGTCTGTCTCACTACTGGCAACAGGGTGACTGAACAGGGACTAGAGAAACAGCTCAGCAGTTCAGAGCACTGGCTGTTCTGGAGGACCCACCTTCCATTCCCAGAACCCACATAGCAGCTAACAACCTCTGTAACTTCAGTTCCAGGGGATCTGACGCCCTCTTGTGTCCTTTGTAGGCAATGCATGTATGTGGTGCAGACTTACACGTGAGACAAAACACCCATATACACATAAAAATAAATCTTTTCTTTTTTATTTTGGTTGTTTTTTATTTATTTATTTATTTATTTATTTATTTATTTATTTATTTATTTATTTATTTTTGAGACAAGGTTTCTCTCTGTGTAGCCCTGGCTGTCCTGGGACTCACTCTGCAGACAGGGCTGGCTTTGAACTCACAAAGATCCGCCTGCCTCTGCCTCCCGAGTGCTAGGATTAAAGGCGTGCGCCACTGCCACCTGACATAAAAATAAATCTTAAAAAAAAAAAATTAGGCAGCCGGACGATGGTGGTGCACACCTTTAATCCCAGCACTGGGGAGGCATAGTCAGGTGGATCTCTGTGAGTTCGAAGCCAGTCTGGGCTACAGAGCGAGATCCAGGACAGGCAAGGAGAAACCCTGTCTCCGGAAAAGAAAAATTAAGTATACTGAGTAAAAGGATTCTGCTAAAAACCACACAGCTTTGTTTGAGTTAGGACCACAAAGTCCCATTCTTCCTAGTGTTAAGTCATGTCTAAGACAGCAGCTGGAGGGACTCGGGTCTATGAATGACCAACTTCCTTTATCCAGTGTTGGCAGGTCTGGAACTCTAAACAGACCCTGCTCAGACCAAGTGGTAACTGGCACCAGCCTGGACATTCCATTAGACTGGCAAGGTTTACACAGCTCAAAATTCCAAATACAAACTAGAGAGAGCAGAAAAGATTGAAAGTGTACATTTCAGTACCAACTAGAAACGGGCAACTCAGTTGCCCAGGCTCTGGTCCAGAATCCCTCACAGCCTCTCGTCTACATTTGCCGATGGCTCCTGCCATTTGTTTATGAGCACTTGGAAGAACAGTGGCTGATTTGGTAGCTCACTGTGTACTGATTCCGTCTTATAGGCATCATCTTCAGTCCTTGATTGCTATTAAATGTTCTTTTCCTAACTCCATGGACCCAAGCATGTAAGGAGGGGTGTGCCTAGAAGGCTGTTTGATTCTGCAGTTTCCCTGAGGACTTGGGGTCTTTGTTAAACTTTTCTTAGAACCAAGAAATACAAGAAAAAGCCCTTGGTCTTGACAAATGCTCAGGCGACAATGACTTTGTCAGCCATTCCCTGAAGCAGAGGAGCCAACCTGCTTTGCCTCTCTTGACTGTGTGTGTGTGTGTTCTGGTGGACCTTCACAGACTCCCACTAAAGCAGCCATGCTCTACTCTTGATGGTCCTGGGCCCCACCTAAGGCAGCCCTGAGTTACATTCAGTGTGTGTTTGCTGAGTTCCAGCCAGCCTTCCAACAGTCCTGCTAAAGAGTATCTGCTTCTCTGTGGGGAAACCCTTGCCCAGGCAGTGGGGGCACCAGGCAGGCAGACATTACTCTTCCTTCCCTAACTGCTTAGCTAGGCCCTTCCTGAAGTGGATGAAGCAAAGCAGCATGGAGAAGGGATTAGAAATGGTCACTGAGCCGAGACCAGCAGTGTGGAGGAGAAGGGGTTAGAAATGGTCACTGAGCCAAGGCCAGCAGTATCGAGCAGTTGGCCTTTTAATTGAGGCGGCTCTGGGATTCTGGAAGGAGGCTCCCTGGACCTTCCCCAGCTCCAGCAGGATGGAAGGACGTCTGGTGGGGAGGGCAGAGGAAGCAGAACTGGTGCTGATGGCTGTGGGTTTCCCCCTAGCATTCTGCTGCTTGCTTGTGCGACCCTGTCTTCTAACATGAAGAGAACCGGGAAGACTGGGGTGTCAGAGGCAGCCTTATTTATTTTTGCTTCTGGGAATTTAATTGAATTTAAAGTTGCTTATGCCAGCAACTTTAGTAAAAGCTTCGATGGAACAGGGTTTAAGTTCATCTGCTCTGAGAACAGTGACCATAGAGTCCAGTCAACGGGTTAGTAAACCCAGTTTCCCTGCCCAATGGAATGCCAGGACCATTTCAGTAATTTCAAAAAACAGACAGAAACGGCTGGTCATGGTAGCTCACACCTTCAGTCCCAGCACTTGGGAGGCAGATCTCTGAGTTCGAGGTCTTCCTGGTCTACACAGCACTCCAGCACAGCCAGGGCTACATAAAAAGACTATCTCAAAGTGAAAGGAAGGAAAGAAGGCAGGCAAACAGACAGACAGACAGACAGACAGGCAGCCAGCCACCGTGGTGTGTGTACCCAGAGTTCAGGTGCAACTAACAGTGTTAGACCGGGAGGGAAGGAGCTACATTTGCAGACAGGATTTGATGCAGGGTGTGACTGTTGGCAACTGCTGCCAGCTGCCAGCTTATTCAGAGTAGATCAGACCAGAGGAGCTGCTGGCCACATAGACCTGTCATATGGACTTGGCCAAGATTCCAAGCACAGAATGCTTGGGCAGCAGCTTCGTCTCATGGAGGGGCTCTTGGGCAGGTAGACTCCTTGTCACAGGCCATAGGTTCACCAGGAGGTCAGGGTTGAAATCAGAGCACTGGTAGCAGACTACTTATGAGATCACCTCAGCAGTAGCCCCTGACATTATCTCCTGGGGTGCTCTCCTTAGCCTCACGGCACCTGAACTGTCAGCTGGCTGTCCGTCTGTCTTTCTTCCCTTTGTTCCCCCGCGCCTTCTACCTAGCATAGAGCCGTTTGCTGGCAGTTAATGTGGAGGGGGCCAGGTTCCTCAGACAGGAGCAGCTTCCTGAAGCGGGGGAGGGGGGGGGGACGACGGCGACACGTACAGAGAACCTGACGGTGAGTGCACTTCCCACAGGTGTGTGACTCTGACACTGTGCTGGATCCAGCCTGCACCATTGAGATGCTTCGAGTCTTGGAAGAAGATCCTCAAGTAGGGGGCGTTGGAGGAGATGTCCAAGTAAGGAGTAACCAGGAGTTCCTGGCGGTTGGGGTTGACCTTTTCTGTTTCTAAACCCAGTGGAAAATGTGTGGGAAATGAATCTCTGGACTTACCAGAATCTGGGGAGCAGTTTCCCTCATAGCTTTTGCTGGCCTTCAAGGGCTCACTTCTCTGACGCCCAACTCATTTCCTGCTCTTCGTGAACATGAGTAAGGGGAGGGAAGCATTAGAAAAGCTTAGAATTAGAAGTGGGAGGCTGGGGAGATGGCTCAGCTGTTAAGATGACTGCTGCTCTTACAGCCCAGGTTCAATCACCAGCATCTACATGAGGACTCACAAGAGGTCACTACTACAGTTCTAAGGGATCTGATGCCCTCTTCTGGCCTCCACAGGCATGCATGCCAGTGGTGCACAGACAAACATGTAGGCAATACCCACACACATAAAATAAATTCAAAACATTTGTATTCGGAAGGACATAGGATTTGGATACTGCAGGTCTCAGAAACTACTTCCTTTTGGACTGATAGTGTAGCTGATAGCTCCCAAGTAGGTTCCTTGAAAAGCCCATGCTTTAGGGACCACAGGCTAAAGAGCTATAGGCAGTATGTTGAGCACGCAGAACCAGAGGGCACTGCAGGCCATGTCATGTCCTCTTAAAGGCTTACCAGCCACCGAGGAGCAAGACAGGTAGAGTGGTTTTGCTTCCTGCTTCTTCCTGAAGCCTTTTCTCTGCCACCACCAATGCCTCCCCTGAGACAAGGCACTGACCACTGAGCATCTTACTTGGGAATCCATGGAGGTGCTGGCGTAAAGGTGGAGCTGGTGCGGAGAGTGAGGTTTTATATGACCACTCTGAGTTTCAGATTCCTCAGTTCTCCTAAGTCCAGAACTAATGCCCAGGAGTGTGAGCAGTACTACCCAGGGTAGAAAGGCCTCAGATGAACACAGCATCTTTGTTCCCTTACAGATCCTCAACAAGTATGACTCATGGATCTCCTTCCTGAGCAGTGTGCGGTACTGGATGGCCTTCAACGTGGAGCGGGCCTGCCAGTCCTACTTTGGCTGTGTGCAGTGTATCAGCGGGCCTCTGGGCATGTACCGCAACAGCCTCCTTCAGCAGTTCCTGGAGGACTGGTACCACCAGAAGTTCCTAGGCAGCAAGTGCAGTTTTGGGGATGATCGACACCTGACCAATCGAGTCCTGAGTCTTGGCTACCGGACTAAGTACACAGCACGCTCTAAGTGCCTCACAGAGACCCCCACCAAGTACCTCCGATGGCTCAACCAGCAGACCCGCTGGAGCAAGTCATACTTCCGGGAATGGCTCTATAATTCTCTGTGGTTCCATAAGCACCACCTCTGGATGACCTATGAATCGGTGGTCACGGGCTTCTTCCCATTCTTCCTCATTGCCACAGTCATACAACTTTTCTACCGTGGTCGCATCTGGAACATTCTCCTCTTCCTGCTGACGGTGCAGCTGGTGGGCATTATCAAGGCTACCTATGCCTGCTTCCTTCGAGGCAATGCAGAGATGATCTTCATGTCTCTCTACTCCCTTCTCTATATGTCCAGCCTCCTGCCAGCCAAGATCTTTGCCATTGCTACCATCAACAAGTCTGGCTGGGGCACTTCTGGCCGAAAAACCATTGTAGTGAACTTCATTGGCTTAATCCCTGTGTCCATCTGGGTAGCAGTTCTTCTAGGGGGCCTAGCCTACACAGCTTATTGTCAGGACTTGTTCAGTGAGACTGAACTAGCCTTCCTAGTCTCTGGGGCCATCCTGTATGGCTGCTACTGGGTGGCCCTCCTCATGCTCTATCTGGCCATTATTGCCCGGAGGTGTGGGAAAAAGCCAGAGCAGTACAGCCTAGCTTTTGCTGAGGTGTGATATAACCCCGAGTAAAGTGGGAAAAGTGCAATGGGTAAGGGAGGGGAGGGGAATGGAAAAGACAGGGTGGGAGGGAGGAGGGAGTGTTGTGTTCTAGTTTCATGGCTGAAAGGACAAATCTGAAATGCAAAGAACGGTGACTGGTGTGGCCTGGGTAGGTAGCTCTGCTCTGGAAGTGCAGCACTGATTCTTCAGGTATAGGGCAGATGGACTTGTTTTCAGGCTACCTGTCTGCTTGCCCTTGCACAGGCAGTGATCTCTGAGAAAACATTTTACTTCCTTCTGGGAACTACAGAGAACCCAGAAATGTGCTAAACCAAGTGCTAAATTCCATCCTGTGAAAACTGGTACAGAAGCAACGACAGTCTTTAGGAAAGTGTCCTCCTAGTCCACTTGAACATGATGAGATATAAGCGAAGTTCCCATCAAGTCTGGCCAGCTAGTACCCCTTTCCCCAACCTCTAATTAGCCATCAATGCATTAAGTTTGTGCCTGAGATAACAAGGCTGGGAAACCTGATCTTTGGTCAGAAAACAGGGTCTAAGAAATGGTGCTTTATGTAATATACTCCATTCCACACCAAAACATCCCAGAGATGAGCCAAGCCACCAGGAGTACTAAGTTTGGTGGGGTTTTATTTGTGCATATTACAAAGGAAAGTTCGGTCAGGTGTCATGGGTGTAATCCCAGCACTTGGAAGGTAGATATGAGATCAGAGGTTCAAGGCCAGGCTGGGCCACATGAGATCCTGTCTCTTACAAAAATAGTTTGACAGGAGGGACAAAGAGATTGTCATGGTGCTAAAAACATGGAGGCCTTGGACTGAACGTGTTCCGACTGGAAACTGCTCAGACTTTTACAAGGATTCCAAAACTGTCAAGAGACCTTGCTGGGCAGATCAAATCTACCAGGAAGTTCAAATGTGTTCAGGGAAGTCTTAGTTTTTTGGCTCATTCATACCTGGTTACTCTCGGGCTGGAGGGATAGCTCAGCCGTTAAAGGCTAGGCTCACAACCAAAAAAACATACCTGGTTACTCTCAAATTCAGCTCTGATCCGAGGCTAGACATCCTACTCAATATTTCATTTTCTTCAACGGCAAATAATTGTTCTTAGTTGTTGTTTTCTATGGGGGGGGGCAGCAGTCCCCTCTCCATTTTCATGGGTAAGTTTCTTCACGTGGCAGAGAACTAACTCTTACAAGACTTACAAGGCTGCTCCCTACATGCATGGAAAGAATATCACTTCTGATCACACTGCCCCTCATCTTAGAACGGTCAGTACCTGGGCAGCTGGTTAGCATGTGTGACTTTCAGATACCCGTTCTCGACAATCATCCCCAGTGGAAAGCTTTCTGGTGTTGCCCAAACGAACCCTCAAGTCCAAGTTGGTCATCTTTGAGACCTCCCATTCTCCTCAGCGGCTTCTCCAAGGAATCCTATGGCCAGGTGATGGATACTCCTCCATTTGCTGCTTCGGTCCGGAAACCAAGAGAGCCGGGACTGGTCCAGCAGTCTCCAGTCACTTCAGCACTCCCTCACACCCCCTCATAGCTGCTTGATTCCCCGCTTCTTCTGGGGAGTGAGGAGGAGCTTTTTATATCGTTTTGAAATCCAGACCAGACTTAGCTTTTGGATTTAAAACCTGGGATCATGACTAAGCCTTTGACTTTAGGGGTTGCCTCTACATTTTCCAAACATTTGTTCTCACAGGGGCCAGCTAATCCCTCAGAACCAACCCTAAGGTGGAGAGCAGTGTACACAGGTGCTTCCTACAAAGGAATGATGTGCACTCTGAACCACAGATGGGCAAACCCTAGAATTTCCCTTCCTCTCATGAACACAAGGGTTTTCCATGTGTAGCTTACAGTTGCCACAGCACACAGACCTCAAGTTTCCAATAAAATTGCTGGTTGATGTCAAGCCCAACTAATGGTGGCCGGGAAGCAGCAGCCGTTTGTTTAAAGGTGGTTGTTCTGGGCCCTTCCGCTAAGAAGTGAACTATTTTGAACACTACAATGGAGGCAGTCCAGTCAGCCAAGCACAGGGCTGACTCCACTAAGGGTGTTTCTCCTCAGCTTCTACTTGAAGGTTAGTGCAGGACAATGGACTCTGGATGAAAACTGGTTGTCCGACCGTCAGCTCCTCTGTCTTGTACTGTGCTGACTCTCCTCAGATTAAAGACACAGAGACAGTAGTGAGCTTACAACATTTGACCTCGACTGGATTTTCTAATTTATTTTGTAGGTTTTTCAGCAGCAAAACTAAACTGGCTCTACAGCTGGATCCCTGTTCTTACAAGGGAGGAGCCATTCTGCAATGAGACTCATTTGGGTTTTTCCTCATTGACAATTTCAGCCTCTTTTGTATTGTTTCTACAATTTGTAAACATATTTATTTTTACCTGCTTTTTTTAATAAGGAGGGAACTTTATTTAACATTAAGGGTGGGAGGGAATCAGAAGGGAGGTGGCTTTACTTGGTGACAATGTTCATATTATGTTCTTGGCACAGCCACTGAGCACAATGCATGGGCCTTTTGCCTCTTAGGCAGTCACAGTGCAGAAGTGTGCAGCCGGGGCTCTCTTCATTTCGTCCACGTCCTTCATATCGAAGCAGCGGTATGGCTTCTGGAAAACCTCCTCGGATTTGTGTTTCTAGCCTACCTATCCATGTACTCAACCTTAACATGAGACTTATAGCCACCCCTCTTGAAGTCTTAGGTGAAGCCATGGCAGTCCTTTTGCTGTCTATATTTAATAGTGATCTTGTTCTCAGTGCCGTACAGGGCTAGGGGAGGCAGCATGCTGGGGCCATACTCTGTACTACGGGACCCAGCAGAGGGACTGTGACCAGCCCTCTTTACAAGAAGCTCCTTGTCCAGGAATGGTGGAGGAGATTGAGAACTCTTGTTGCTGCTTATGCAGGCTGCTCATGCTCCAGCTGTTTCCCCTGACTATTTAGAAAGCATTCTGACTAAGGATGTGATCCTTATTTAACTCAAATCCAGGAGCTTCTGCTCCTGTTCCTGCAGGTGGTCAGACATATCATAGGTGGGAATTCCTCATAGAGTGCAGCAGAGCTCTACCAGGACCCCCTTCTCAGGATGATCTTTCTCCTGCTTCACAAGCTCCTAGCATCTTTCTCGATGCTGTCTTACAGCTGCTGTAGTCACTGTAGGGACCACAACCAATGTCCCTCACCCACCCCACCCAGCTGCTTTAACTCTGCCTTTTCCTTCTGCACCTGCGGGCTCTGATAGCGGAGCTCCACCTCTGTTGTTCTTGCTGATGTCTATGTTCTCTACTCCAGCATCATCAGGTGAGGATGCAGACTGAAGCTACTGGCTTCCTCTTTCTCCAGGACCACCTCTCCACTCTGGGTAGTTGGTGCTGACCTTTGCCCAGCAGTAAGGAACTTAAGTCCCCCTTGTGAGTCTACTGTTCAAGAGGCTAAACAGCATCTTCCTTTCTGCTTAGTCATCTCAAAGGTCACCATCTCCTTGAGTGTGGAGTGAGTACTTCAGATGAGCTGAGGCCCTGCTGAACTTGTGTAGTTGCAGGCTGACCCAGTTCTCTGCAGTTCTCATTCATGAGACCACTGGAGTATCACTCTGGTTCCCATGGAAGGTGTCTAGCCAGTTCTTCTCCAATTCCCCATCTTATCTGGCTACCAAAGAGCAAAGATTTTGCTGTGTCAAAACACCTGCATGGCGAGGTTAGGTGCAAAAAAAGCAGGTGCTAGGGCTCCTTCCACATTCTTCTCAGCCAACTTTTTATCCCCAGGTTCACACCACCAGCAGCACATCTCCTCTGGCAGCACACCTTTTGTCCTTAAAGGTGAACATCAGTCTCTCCTTGGAATTCATGCATGCTCTTCAGTGAGGTCCTGCGGGTCTCAAGCACTGTACATCCTCTACCCAAACTCCTCCACCAGCAATGATGCCTATCTCTCTCTTTTTTTGGTTTTTCGAGACAGGGTTTCTCTGTGTAGCTTTGGTGCCTGTCCTGGATCTCCCTCTGTAGCCCAGGCTGGCCTTGAACTCACAGAAATCCGCCTGCCTCTGCCTCCCGAGTGTGCCACTGCTGCCTGACTTGATGCCCATCTCCTGATCTAGCTCCTCCACCAGCTGTCCTCTTCTCTGGCAAGCCTTCCGTAGCTCCTCACCACCCAAGCTGTGGTGTTCCCACGCAGGGCTCACCCTCCCCCAACTTCTGGCTCAGGAAGGCCTTTCTTGTAGCTCTTCTCTAAAGGCCATGGGATTGAAACACTGGCTGCTTTAAGCTCCTCTTTTTTTTTTTTTTTTCTTTTTTGGTTTTTTCGAGACAGGGTTTCTCTGTGTAGTTTTGGTGCCTGTCCTGGATCTCACTCTGGATCCACCACTGCCCAGCAAGCTCCTCTTTCTTAACACTGATCTTCAAGAGTTTCAACCCCAATTTGGCTGGACCTGGCTGCTCCAATGCCAAGTAACAGCATCTCCTGAGCTGGATGGGTCTCAGTAGTCTTCACACTTTCTAGCTTCTCCACTGCTCAGAGTACTGTGCAGCACCATTAGGGACCTGAGTTTCCACCCCCCCACCCCCACCCCCACCCCTCCACCTCTTGCTCACTACAGGTGCCATTCTGGTGCTGTTTCTTGTACTCCTAATGTTGCTATGGCAGCTTGATGGTGCCTTGTGCCAGTCACCACTGGTCCTAGCCACCTTTCTCTCAGAGGAGCTCGATGACCCCATAGTTAGTGTTAAATTGGCCTTATTGGGCCCACCAAGCCCTGATGACACAAAATGCAAACAATTCCAGGTGACAAGGCAGCTGCCAACCTGTTGCTGGCAACCACGAGCGGCTGCTTCTGGCATTGTCATTTTCATTGTCTTGGGGGATTTGCTTTTTTGTTGTTTTCAGGTCAACAATTTTTTTACCGCACTTAACAAAATAAAAACCCTTACATAATGCTGGTGTGTCCGTTGCTGTGACAAAGTACCAAAGTGAACTTCAGGAGGAAAGGTTCACTGGGGCTCACATTTTGGTATCCTATCAATTGACTCCGTTTCTGGGTACATGGTGAGGCAGAGTATCCTAAAAGGGGGCCTGTCCTCAAGTAAACTTACTCACCTAGAAGCTGCAGGGAAGCAGAGAGCTGGAGGAAGCCAGGGACAAAACACACTATGCTCACAGTGACCGGCTTTCTCCAGCTGTGCGCTGCTTCCCGCAGTCCGCAGCACTTCCCAGTTAGCTCTTAAAGCATGACTATCAACAGAGCTGCTCACCAGTGACGTTCAAGAATCCACCTCCTACCTCCATCAAAGAGCCTCGCTGGAGACCAAGCCTCCAACACATGAGGTTAGAGGGACAGTTCAGACGTAAAGAAACAGCTGGGATCTCAGAACTATGTCCTCTTGTACTTAATAAACCCAGCTCCTTTTCTCTCGTTTTAAAAGGACTAATGGTAGAAATGGCAGCAGTAGAATTCAAAAGTAGGGTAAGAGGCCAGCAAGATGGCTCAGAGTAAAAGGTACCTACTCCGAGCCTGATGACCTGAGTTCCATCCTTGGGATCCACCGCCCCACCCCTCAATTGTCCTCTGACTTCCACATGTACATCACCAGCATAAGTGCACACACACCACTCAAAAGTTAAAAGTGCTGATTTAAAAACATTTCACAAATAGGGTACAGTGTCACAGGTGCACCAATTTCAGAAATTAAGCCACTTAGACCCCCCTGATACGACCCTGCTCATGAGCACTCATGCATGTGCAGCATCAGTGAGTCTGAGTCTCATGAAATAACTATCAGATGAAACCTCTCCCAACCCAACACTGCCAGTTCTCCTCCGGTTACTCCACAAAACAGGAAGAGAAGAATGGATGCTAAAGCCAAGCTGGCTCCTCCAGTGCAAGCAGGCTGGACGGCAGGTGACACAGCGCTGCTGTCACCCCGCACAAAGACAAGCGGGACTGATCGGCCGCTGTGGGAGAGAACAGAATGCAGTGACAGCAGCAGCCCTCTCGTCCCGTTTATTAAAGAAACAGTAAGAAAAGATACAATGCAGGAAAACACCAATCATCCTTCACATCAGGCTGAACGAAGCACAGTGATTCTCCCTTTCATCCCTCCACCCCCACCCCAATTCCCCAATGCCCCTCCACATCAGTTTCAGTTTTGAGGTTCTTTGATTGGGAGTACCAGTGTGAGAGGGAGCTGGATGATCAGAGGAGCCTTAAATCTGGCCACCTAAGTCCCAGGAGAAAGGAGCTGCAGGCCCAGTCTAGCAGAAATGTGGTGGGTCTGTGACTTGAGTGTCCACCTCAACATTCTGTGTTCAAGCCCCCAGGGAAAGGTCTGGCAGTAGAACATGGCCAGGTCCAGGGTGCCCAGGTCAGTACTGACGCATGGTCCGCTCACCAATGCAGCATCACTAGACAGCAAGTGAGCCACTTCTCCAGTGGTGAGCGGGGGATTAGGACCTGCAGGCCAGTGTATCCCTGAGGAAAAGTCCACAAGAACAATTCAGGAAACCAGTAAGAAACAAGGAGCAGACGGCTGGGGTCAAAAGCACGGCAGGCCCCCGGAAGGCCAGAGACCCTTTTCTCGAGGCCAGGATCGTCCCCATCTGCCACAGTCCCTGTCTCACAAGTAACATTTGCCTTCAGTCAAGGAAAAAAGCAGAGGAAAAAGGCGGCTCATTTGAACGCGAGTCCCAGCTGTGTTCTTCAGACTGTATGTAGTTCCAGATCTACTCTTTCATCTAAGAGACAGCCCCAGCCCAGAACCACGGTGCTGGAAAACAGAGTGGCCCTGGAAGAAACATGGTATTTAAGGGGGTAACATTCCATTTGGGTACATCGCAGCCATTGGACCCCCTGGTCTGGGGAAAGCAGCTGGATTTGAACCAGGGAGGCTGCCTACCCTAGGAAATGGGACCACACTCTTGGCTACAGGGCCATTCATCCTTGGAAAGGAAGCTGGGTTAACACCCAGGGTCCCTGTCGGCCTTGCAAAAGGAGCCTGGTTGATACCCACAGGGCCTGCTGGAGAAGAGCCCAGGTGCCCAGCAGCTGACCTTGGGAAAGCAACTTGACCGGGGCCTAATGGACCAGCAGACCTCGGGAAGGCAGCTGGACCTGGACCCTGCAGGCCAGAGGCCCTTGGAAAGTTAGCTTGGTTGGGGCCTAGTGGCCCAGAGGCTCTTGGGAAAATTGCTGGATTTGAGCCCTGGAGACCAGCAGACCTCTGAAAGGTACCTGGATTTGAAGCCAATGTGCCAGAAGACTGAGAAAAGGCAGCTGGGTTCAGTCCTCCTGATCCTGTCCCCCTTGGAAAGGCTCCAGCATTTACCCCCATTGGGCCACCTGGCCTTGAGAAATGAGCTGAATTAGGGCCCATGGGGCCAGGAGCCCTTGACATGGCAGAGGGATTTGGCCCCGGAAGGCCAATTCCTCGAGAGCTAGGACCCGTGTTTGGGCCTATGGGGCCAGGTACTCTTGTCATGTTAGGTGGGTTTGTGCCCATGTTTCCAGAAGCCTGCGAGAAAGCAGCTGAATTTGCTCCTAAAAGACCTGCTGCCCTTAGAATAGGGGCAAGATCTAAGCCTTGAGGTCCAGCCATTCTTAAGTTAAGACCAGATCCTGTACCCAAGAGGCCACCTGCTCTGGTGTCCAGATTTGGGCCTGGGCCTAGGCCACCAGCTCTCGGGTTGGGTCCAAGGCCTGGGCCTAGGCCACCAGCTCTCGGGTTGGGCCCCAGGCCTGGGCCTGGAAACATACCCGACCTAGGAGCTGCGTTTGTACCTAAAAAGCTCGATCTCAGATTAGGATTTGGTCCAGGGCCCAGGCCGACTGGCCTAGGATTGGGAGGACCAGTACCAGAGGATAAACCACCTGCCCTCAGGTTGGGTACACATCCAGGGCCCACAGGGCCACCACTTCTGGGGTCAGGACTTACTCCCAGGAGCCCACCTGCCCTTGGGTTGGCCATAGGGCCAGGGCCAGGAAGCCCCCCTAATCTGGGGTTAGACATAGGCCCTGGGCCTGGAAGAGCCCCTGTTCTAGGGTTTAAACCTGGTCCCGGTCCTGGTCCCGGTCCAGGTCCCAAAAGGCCACCTGGCCTTGGGAAAGAAACGGCACCTGTGCCAGTGGGGTTCATCCCTCTTGGAAAAGAAGCCATGCTTGGGTCACGAGCACCAGCAGGAAAATGTGCTGGATTTGAAGCCAATGAGCCTGATGAACTTGGAAAAGAAGTTGGATTCCTTGGAAATGGAGCCAGGTTTCCACCAAGAGATCCTGCTGCCATAAGGAAAGGATCTGAGTTCACACCCATTGGGTGGCCTGTGTTCATAACAGGCCCTCCCTGATGTCCCAGGGAACCGTCCAGCCGTCCTCGAGGTGGCAACGGCGCACGAGTCCAAGGAGTTGGCCGCTCTCTAAGGAAAATGCGGGGTTCTTTCATACTTTCTTGGGAACGTTGGTGATAATAGGCTTAGGGCGAGTTTTGAAAAGGATCTTGTTTCTGATGAGTGCCGTCACCACGTACCGAGTGCCAGTCTCTCGACCAAGCTCATCACAGTCCTGCTCCCCAAGAGTGCGTTTGACAAGGACTGCAAAAGGTTTCTCCAGGTGGATGATTTTCCCATACAGGATGTGATGCCCCACGATCAGCACAGGGATTCCCTTTGGCAGAACAAGAAGGAGATGCCTGAGGTTGAGGGCAACGCCATTCCTCTCAGGTGCCTTTAAAAGCTGCTCTTGGCAGGAATGCTGGCACCTCTCAGTCCCTAATCTGTCCCGTACTGGACAATCCACCCTTGTCCCTTTCTATTCTTTCTAGCCCCATGTAAAGAGCATTTCCACTTTTAGGACCCTTGCAGATTCCCCAAGGCTCCATTTCCCTGCCACTTCGGAGGCGGGGGAACAGCAAGCAGACAGCTCTGCAGACTGGCTGACCCTCGAGCGACAGACCCGAGGACAGTCCTCACACTGGGGCCTGGGAGCACCACCTTGGTGTAGCTTACTTTACTGAGGCATACGGCAGGGAAAAAAAGACCCCTCACCTCAGTGGTGTAATGTAGGTCTCCCAGGAGGTTTCCAGCTAATCCGGTGCTGTAGCGAGCCTCGATCTCCCCCTGTAGTTCCATCAGCACCCATTCTGCCAGGCCTCCAGCCCCCGTACTGCAAGCAAAGGGCTGGCGGTTACAATATTTTTGAGTGGTGAAGGATGAGTAGTGTCCTACACCTACACCACCGTCAGAGGCCCAAAGGAGCTCTTTGTTGAATACAAGTTCTTGGGAAATTGGGTAGGTAGTGCTGGGAACTGAAATAGAGATCTTAATGCAACTATTTATGTAAGATATACCTGGGGACCCTAATTCTTCCAGAATAGTGTGAAACCAGGATAGCCCTTGACACTCAAGCTAAGTAAAATTTTAAAACATACTCACCTGGAAATAACAATTTGCACCATGAGCCTTCCTTCTTTAAAAAAGCAACTGAAAAACTGAAGAAAAAAGAAAAAAACACCTTTAGGGCAACAATAATTATAGCTAGTATTTACCACTTAACTGTGTGATAGGTACCTTTTCCTCTTGAGAGGGGATCTCTAGTTCAGGCTGTCCATGTCATCTTCATGGAGTTGAGGATGACCTTGAATTTCTGACTCTCCTGCCTCTACCTCCAGCTTATGTGTTGGGCTTCACACATGCCAGGCCAGCACTCTACCAACCGAGTTTTAAAGGTCTTACACTCCCAGCCCAATGTGTGACAGGCACTTTTCTAAGTGCTTCTGACATGTTCTCTACCAGCAATCCCATAAGGGCTAGGCCTCCTTGCTGACAACAACAGCTGGACTGTGACACACTCAGGCACACTCCAGCAAATCATAAGGTGAGCTCCTTCTTTTTTCTTTTTGGTTTGGTGTTTTGCAGACAGGGTTTTTCTGTGTAGCTTTGGAGCCTGTTCTGAAACTCGCTCTACAGACCAGGCTGGACTCGAACTCATAGAGTCTGCTTGCCTCTGCCTCCTGAGTGCCACCAACGCCCAGCAATTTCTTTTTCTTTTCTTTCTTTTTTTTTTGAGAGAGGGTTTCACTATGTAACTCTGGCTACCCTGGAACTGTGCAGAGAAGGTTCTGCCTCCTGAGTCATGGAATTAAAGACATGTGCCATTCTAATGTGACTCTCAACTAGTGACCACCTCTTAGATGTGAAAAATACTTATACTTTCACACTATACAACAGTGCCACCTGGTGGCAATTTTGAGTACCCTAAAAGCTTGATGCTGCTATCTGGCTTCATTTGCCCTTGTGCCTGCCATTCAGGGAGAGAGACTGAGATTGATTGGACTGGGGGACCAAAGCTAGTTTCTGGTTGTCTCTTGAATGAGACAACATATAGTGTTACCAACCATGGTGTAAAAGGTATTATAATTGTACTCAAACGCAGCAAAAACACTAATCAGGATTTTCCCCCATTTTTTTGTTTTTCCTGTTTAAGCCAAGGGCTTACAACACAACTAAGGCTGGCCTGGGACTCTAGATCTACTCTTGCCTCAGCCTCCAGAGTTAGGACTACCGCTGGCACCAGCATGCCATTTAATAGGTTCCTTTACTGGTTGTCGCCACTCTGGACCTCCAGTAGGCTTGTTTTATGACAGAACCTCTTTCCAGAGCACCAAAAACATTGCATCAGCAGCTAACAGATTTGGAATCGTCACTATGGACCACATGCTATACACATGCGAACATGGTATTTTAATCAACATGGCAACTCTAATAAGAGGTACTCATTCCTACTTTGCAGTTGAGGATACTGGGTCACACACAGACAAAATCACTTATTGATATATGGTACATAATCAACTAGAGTATAGGTAGTAAAGCCAAGACAGGAAACTGGGCCATCTAGTTACTTAAAAATCACTACTTGATTTTCCCTTCCCAGAGGACAAAACCCAGTGCTAGCAAGAATGAAAAGGCATTTAGGCACTCAGTGGCAACATATTTAAGTGCTGTTCACAACAGCAAAAGGGCACCAAGACTAGAACTTTGAGTAAGTTAGGCTTCTGCACCAAAATAGGTTGCGGCCCCACCCAAGAAAAGGCAATTTATCAGCTTCAAACAAGACCAGTGGAAGACCCTAACCTAAGTAGTTTTTTGAGACCAGGTCCATCTTTTGAATTTGCAAACCTTCTGTTTGAACCTCCTGAGCACTGAATCAAAGGCATGTGGCACTAAGGCCTACTTCCAAAGCACTTCTGAAGTGAAAGGACAGCAATCCAAATTCAAAAGGCTCAAGTTCAAGTTCCAGCTTGTAAAGTGGAAAGCTACTGTACGATCTCACACAGGTCACTAAATGACTAGGGGCTAACACCTAGGTTATGACTCACTAGAGTCATGACTAAATATAACACATGCAAGACTGCTTAGACTCATAACCTATTGAGAACAGCTAATTTTTCAGATTGTAAAGTAAGCAATTCAGCTTATGTGAGGTGGGTTGTCAGGGTGAAGGCTGGAGGGGCAGGAAGAGGAAAGAGAGGGGGGAATCTGTGGTATCTAAAAATGAATAAAAAATTCCTTAATAAAAAAGTCTCAATAATTCATCAAGTATGCAATACACAGAAAGGCCAGGGCTGCACAGACCAAGTTCTTTCAAACAAGCTTTTGATAATGATGATGCAGTCAGGGTATGATGAGAAGTGTAAGCTACAGCAAACTAAGGTGGTCTAAGGAAACTGACAGATAAGTCATGTAAGTGAACAGCAGAGTCTAAGAAGAGGAAAAAGATAACCCACTTCCTGGGACTAGGGAGACGGCTCAGTAGGTTCAACCATGCAAACATGAGCACCTGAGTTCACATCTGCAGAACTCATGAAAACACTAAACATGCAGCATTAGCACCTGAAATGGCAGTGGCCTTGTGAGATGGGAGCAAAGGCAAACGAACCCTTGAAAACTTGAAGGTATGCAGTGAAACCACCACCAAGACACTGTCTCAAGGCAGAAGACAAGGACTGAATTTAAGGTTGTCCTCCATATTCATATTTGCATACATACACCATACACGTGTACCAAAATACCACACTTCCTGAAGACTAATTTCAATGTTTATGTGCTTTTTATTCACAGGAATGAGATAAGATTAGAGACAATGTGGATGCAAGGTATTTTCAATGCATTCTCTGCTTCCTGGGTAAGAACTAACAACAATGGACTAAGAAGTGGCACTTGCATACCTACCCATGGGGCTTCAGTTGAAAACATACATCTTTATACACAGATGCAGAAGGCCTTGCCTGAGCTATTTCTATTGATACTGGCAAACATCTGGCAATGCCCTGGAAAATAGTAATTCTATAGCACACCCTTGGACATTCTGTGGCTGTACCCCATCAAGCCTGTAACAGCTTATGATAAATCTACTTAGGTGCTTTACGTACATAGAAAAAGAAATGCAAGCTCCGTGGGTCAGTCTAGCTTGGATGCACCTATGTACTGATACATAGGTTATATTTATTGATTTGGGTATATGAGGTTATATTTACCAAATAAGAAACACTGGGGAATGTTTAAATTCTTTCTAATAAATTTTGAAATTCTACTTTTATGCCTTAACATTTCCTGTACCATCTAAATTCTATTACTCCTTTGCTTGCTCCTTGAGATCACTAGACAACTATCCACAGGGCTAATTAAGTGCTGAACTGAGGATACAGCTGACGGAGCTGACAGGAGTGTGAACATGTACTCCAGTCAGCATGTATTTTATTCAAAAAGCTATGAAAAGCCAGCTGTGGTGGTACACATCTGTAATCCCTGCACTTGGGAGGCTGAGGTAGGAAGACTGAATTCCTACCCAGCTACACAGTAAGATCCTGTTTCTAAAAACAAAAATGAGTATGACAGTGAGCATCTTAATTTGTATCTATCTCCTTGAGATTAGGCAGGAGAAAAACCTGCAAAAGAGGAGGTCAAGTATTGTAGGAGCAGAATACCTCTAATCTGAAAACATGAAATGCTACCAAATATGAAAAATTTAAAGCAGGTCAGGGCACTAGTATCAAATTTCAGATTTTTCAGTTTTATCAGTTTAAATATGCTCATCTGCTAAGTTGATGCAAATATTCCAAAATCTGAAGTACTTCTCATGTGAATTGAATAATGCTTAACCTGTAACAAGCCAAATTCTGTTAGTAGTAACAAAGAACAAAAACATTACAGTGAAAATTCTCTGTAAGGCATCAATTTCTGAGTCTTACTTCATCCTAACACTAAGAGACAACTAGGTTGTCTAAGATTTGGCTCGTTTAGAAAAGCAGCAGTGTTATCCAATAAAAAAAGAGCTCTCGTGTCAATAATCTTTTGGAACATTTACTGATTATCTCTTTTCATCCTGACATGGTCATTACAATCTTGATAGGTTAAGCAGGATTAGAAAAGCCAAAGGTTAAGCAAC